AAACAGTGTATACATACTTTTGGGACATCCTGTATACATAGAGATATAGCTACTTATGCCACACATTTGCATTTTTTCTTATGAACATCTGAATGACCCGACGAGTAGAGGAAATTAATATTTAATTTTGAAAATGTTGGATTGTTGTCTTTTCTTACGGATGCGTGAGCGTGCTTCACAAAAGATTTCAAACTTTTGTTTTAGAGTCACAGTCTAAAATGGTCTGCTTAACTTATTATACTGTAATCGCTCTACTTATCGTCTACGTCAGCACTACTCCTACTGCTACAAATACCGAAAATTTTTCAAGGCAAGAACGGTAGGTCATTTTTGCGCTAACGTCCTATAGTCGAGTATGTTAATTCCAGTAGTGCTCTGAAGCGAAGGATGAACCGGGAAAAAAGGCAATTCGGCTGGGATTCGGCATATCCTACTACCTATGTATACCAAACACCATACGTCGGTTATTATGGGAGCTGGGGATACCCGATGATGGGTGTATATTGATGATGATATTGTTAACTTCACAAAAGTTCCTCAATAATCTTGTACATTTACAATAAATTCTTTTCAATAAACAAGGCCTCAATAGTATGATAAAAGTTAATAACGATGAGGTACAAGTTATCAACAGCATAAATTGAATTAACGGGCTTGAGGGGTTTGAATTTTTTGTGTGTGTGTGTTCTTACGTGTGTATGTCACAAAATTTGTGGCACGAGTTGCAGACAAGATTCCGAGCTACAAATCTGCAAAAAAGCGAATTTTGAGCGAAATGTTGTGTGAATTCCTTAGTTCTGGCTTTCAAGATTGGGTCTGTATCATCACTTTTTGCAAAGTCATGGATAGGTTTGGCAAGTGAACGTCCAAGTCATAAACATAGCCTTAGAAAATGATCAAAAAATCATTAGGCTCTAAAAAACTGGCTGCGTAGATGTTCAATTTGCCAATGTTTTACCTGAGCATTTGAAAAAATTCTTAGGACTTTCAATGAGCCGTCAGTCCTTGGAATTGGCCTGTCACGAAATC